GGGGGTATTTTTTGTTGTCATCTTTACACCAGTTTGGTGTAGAGTATAGGAAGGATCTTACCTTATTAGGTATTTTTGTTTAAAAGAGACAATGATTTGTGAGGTAAGGAAATGTTCTTTTTTAGATTTTAAAAAAATGTTGCTATATTTTTCTTGAAATTTCCTTTAACAAAACAAGGTCTATGTTTTATAGTTAAATTTAGTTGTATGTAGGCCCACTGTTTTTTCTTTTTTTTTTTTTCTTTGGATTTTCCGGGCTCATGAAGTTTTTCTTTAATGCTAGTATTGATCTATATGATTTATTTTTTTAAATAACTTTTTTCATTTTTTGTTTCAGTCATGTTACAACTGTTGTTTTTGCTCTGTTTAGACGTCTTGACAACTGTGATCCATTGTGTTACTTATACAGGTGTTTTTTAATGTTTACTTAGTAACTTTTAATGTGACAAAGGCATACACTAGTCATCGTCGCTTTTGTGTCGGTTATCTGTAATGTATGTTATCCTTCTTTTTTTTTTTACCCCAAAATTGGTAATAATAGTTATTGTCACTTCTGTGTTGGGTTTCTGTAATGTATGTTATACTTTTTTTTTTTCACTCCACAATTTGGAAAAGTTTTTCCAATTGTTTCTCGTTGTTGGTGATGTTCTTTGAAGGGGAGAACTATGCAGTGGGTGTTTAGGTTAGTTTTTTCAGGGAATGCTTATTGTTCTCTCTGGGGTCAGTGATTCAAGAAGTTGTCTTCACCCCTTGTAAGTTACCTAGCAGGTAACATCCTTTAGGAGTTTTGGATCTTGAATTTGTAGCTTATTTTTCTTTTTTGTGTTTTTAGGAGAAGGGGGACCCATTGGAGTAACTGAGACCTAATTTCCCATGTCGAATTCCTATAGTCTATTTTTTTCATTTTGCTCAGTGGGGAAAGGGCTTATCAATAGTTTAACTTAAAATCTTATATCTTCATCATCTTTATCTACATCATCATAAGTATTTATCATTGCAATCATCAAAGAGGCATCTTGCCAAAGAATGCGGTGGCAAGACTTTCTTAATCTTCTCAATGAAAGAAGCTCATGAGATTCATGAAATGCCTTTTTCCAGTCGACACTTTGTGGGAACACATTTGATGGTAACTGGTTATTTCATGACTGTCTTGCTGTTTAAGTTTTTGCTGCATTCTTTACAATGCCTTTTGCATCAAGCACACTTGGTTGTATGTGCTAAAAAGAGAATGTAGGAAAGTGGGTGTTTGGAGTGTGCATGTTTTGTGTTCTGAATAATGATTGTTTGATTCAGTTGTAAGGTGAGTGGTTGAGCTCTGAATGTGTCTGAAAAATGTTCTGATGTTGGAAACCAAATCCTTTAATACTTTTGCGTGCTGAAATGAGAAAAAGAGGAAAGTGTGTTGTGAGGGTTTTTTTCCCCGGGAAGGGGGGGGGGGGATGTATGAAAGGGAATGAAGTGTGTTGAACTGCTCATTGCTCCTGTAATGTTGATATTGTCAGATTTCTAGTGTACTTGTGTATGGTGGGTGTGGAAATCAGAGCTTGACAGTGCGGGTTATGAATATAAGGAGTGTGAGCAAAGAATGCTTTGGCTACTTCATCGTGCCATTAATGTAGTGTACGAGTCTTGTGGGTCATGAAAGGAAAAAATAAATGAGTTACTAAAATTGATGGTCTTGTGTTGGTTTTTTCATTCAATGTTTTTTCTGATAAATGTGAGACATCATGGTGAAATCAGGCACCCTTCAAAATAATGAAATCGAAGATACTGGTATTCTTCGGCCTGTTTGACAATTTTTATCGATTTTTTTTTTCTGGCTCAAGACCTTTTATCTCTATTTAAAAACACATTTTAGTGTAGATTTGACTGAAAAACATTGATTAAAAGCTCCAAAAAATGCAAATTTTTAATTTCCAAGAACTTTAAAGCTTAGGAAATCACAAAATGTTGGCAGCCATTATCTCACTAATTTTACCTCTGAAACCAGGCGACCCCTGGCTCCTTCAATCCCAAATATCTTGACTTCTATTCAAGATAGATGGTATTTTTTTCATCGAAAGATTGCTGTCAAATTAACAATATTTAAGTTGACACCATTAACTAAACAAGTCCAAAAATTGACAAGCGCCTGATTTCACCACGTTGTCTCTCAAATGAAAAATTCTTTGTAACGGTAAGGGATCCATGCCGCAGTATTCAATTAAGTTGATTGAAAGCACTTTGGCAGTTATTGTGAGGCTTTGTGGTGAAATCAGGCGCTCGTCAAAATAATGAAATCAAAGAAGTCGGTATTTTTATAGCGTGGAGGAGTTTTTTTCCAATTTTGTTTTGGCTCAGCAACTTTTAAATCCATTTTAAAAACACATTTGTGTGTGGATTTCACTGAAATATACTGATCAACGGAACAAAAATTTATGAAAATTTGCAGTTTCCAAGGACTTTCGAGCTTTGGAAATCATCAAATTTCGGCGGACAATTTCTCGCTACTTTTACTTATGAAACCGGGCGACCCCTACCTTTTTAATTAAATTGCTAATATAGCGAGATAGATGAGTAATTTTTTTCATCGAAAGCAAGACAAATGAACTAGCCTTATGACTATACCAATAACTACCCAAAAATTGACGAACGCCTGATTCCACTGCGTCGTGACTCGTGGTGGCGGGTGTCATGGACAGAAATCTGCACAGCACAAACTTTGCTGTAGTAGCGAGCTACCAATATTTGGCTGATTTTCTTGATTTGGTGGGAAGTAATATTATTATTTTGTCTCCTAACTTACTTATCGAGAAGAGATGGGGAAATGCGGGGGGGGGGGGCACTTGAAGATGACCCACCTTCAGCTCCGCTGGTATCATTAAGACTATATGACGTGGATCAGCCTATTCAAAATATATAAAAAAGCGAATGGGTAAGGGGGGGGGGGGGAGAGAGTTTCCTTGAAATAGGGTTTGTCGGGAAGTTTTAAACCCTCTCCACCTGGCTGGTTTGGTCCCATCTGAGATCTTGGGGCCTTGGTATTCAATTTACCCCCCTCCCCCACCCCGACCACTGTCTCTTATTTAACCATAATAATACACATATATACGTTGAAAGAGGCGTTAAACCCATACGATATGAAGTAGGCCATATATATCATAAATTTTAATAATATGTTCTCAGTTTATCGACAAACCAGGCAGTCGTTCTGACTTTGGGTGAGAAGGATAATTCCCCTGATTAATATGATCGGCATATGCGGATATGAAGAATCGAAACGAAAACTCAGAATTTCAAAGACCTCCATTCTTGAGGTTTTGAAGTCTACGGAAATTGATAATGGACAATTAGTAAAACGTACAGGTGAGCTTTTACCACAATAATGATATTTATTGTAGCATTTATATAGCGCATATACAATGGCGTCCAAAAGAAACTTGAGAATGTAATCACCCAATTATTGTGCCTTAAAGCTCTGCACTACCCATTATGCAGCATACCAATTTAAAGCAAAATAAATTCTGCATCATCTGACATATTATTAATATTTCATCTATGTTAAGAACCTCGAGATATGGCCACTCAAAACTGGCATTAAAAAATCAGGCCTGGCAAAATTGCGAGTAATTGAAGAAACGTAAAAGTGTGTTTGCGCTTGTCTTGGGGTGCATCAACATTGGTGGAAGGGACAAGTATTGAATATCAAATGTAAAGAGAATATTTTTGTCTCTGCGATGAACAGCATCTTCTGAGAATAAAATAATGTTTTAAAACAGATTAGAAAACAGAATACCATGTCACAAATACCACGCAACACCTGGACTTAACTAACATGACATGTACTCATTAGTATTTGTTTTTGTTTAGGAGCTATTGGTTTCGTGTAGAGCACGAAACATTTTTTGCACATGGACTAAGTATAGTTAGATTTTGGACAGTATAACCTTCTGTCATTGAGCATCGAGGAACAGTAGAGGCGACGAAACTGAGATGGGTTTGGGTGGTCTGGGGTGGAATGAACAAAACAGCTGTCGTGAGAATCACCGAATGGCTTGGTTTAGTGGACTACATCACGCAAGTGCTGGAATGCTAAGTCTCACTCTTATTTCTCGTCATGGTGTCACTTTAGTAGACGTCTCCACGCACAGCAAAGCACGTTCTCGTAGAGCCAATTCCCCGAGATCTAGATAGTTCCTGGAAAACCAAATCGTATCAACGTTGGAGTAGTAGCCAGTTTATAAATAGCCCCGATTTGAAGCCTCCAAGTAAGTGAAGCCCCATGAAACAGCAGTTGAAGAAAGTGACTTTGCTCCCAAATCAGACCCTTTGTTTGCAACTCCCGGTGGTATTTGGGATGAAAATAATACTACTAATAATAATAAATGACATTTATATAGCGCTCAACCCCTATTAAAGTACACAGTCTCTGAGCGCTTTACAATACAGGGCAACGTACAACAGTAACATAAAACGGTGTGTTCTGACTAAAGAACAGTACTCCAAATATCATCTTAAAAACAGAAACGACTTCAGCTGACATTTGAACAAATCAAAAGAGTTGATCTCTCTTAAAGCACTTGGTAAAGCATTCCAGATCTTGGGGCCTTAGTATCCAAATGCCCTTTCACACATTGTTTTAAGTTTCATAGATGGTAAAATAAATTTCTTTTTGTCAGCTGGTGACTTTAAACTGTGAGTTGGAATGTACAGTCTTAACAGATTTGATGAATATGATGGTGCATTATCATTCAAACATTTGTGACATAGGGTGGCCAACTTGTACACAATCCTTTTCTCAAGAGGAAGCCAAAGCAAAGTTCGTAAAAGAGGTTTAGCAGAGTCTCGCTTAATTTCTGATAGATATTATAAATATATGTCCAAAATCTAAAAGAGCCGATGCTCAAAGGGTTGGTGCTCTACCAAAAATCAATGGCTCCTTAGCAAAATAACGATGAGCACATGTAATGTTAAGTCCAAGTTGGGCGTAGTGTTTGTGATTGCTTTGTTTTCCGTTTTGTTTGAAATTATCCTAATAAAATATTGCAACTGAAGAGACACAATTCACCATTCATTGGATATGCAATGAAAGGCCATTCTATCAATATTGATTTCCTCAATATAGGCTACTCACGAAGACAATTTTACGTTTCTTTGATTTCGCACAATTTTGCCAAGCCTGATTTTTAAATGTCAATTTTGAATGACCATACCTCGGGCGTCTCTTAACATAGATGAAATACCAATGTGCCAGATGATGCAGAATTTATTTAGCTATAAATTGGTATGCTGCATTGGTGGGTAGTGCAAGTCTTTAACACGATGATTGGGTGATTGCAATTTCAAGGGGTTTTTTTGGGGGGCGCCACTGTATATGTCCACGCTGTACAGCATGCTGTGTGCCTTACACCCATTATTTCCACATCAATCCCTAGAACACTCAGAAACATTCTCGGCTTCCTGGGAACCATACAAGCAGTGCAAGCTGCGGTTTTCACGAGCTCAAACACTAACAAACTGACAAGATCTTTCGTTCCTGTCTGTAGCCGGGTACCCATCTCCACCAGGGTGAAGTGGGGAAAATTCGTGTAAAGCGCCTTTCCCAAGGACCCAATGTCGAGCCCCTGACGGGATTTAAACCCACGACCTTGCGGTTGTGAGTCCGAGAGCCTATACACTAGGACACCGAATCCACA